TGGGACAAGGAGAAACCCCATCCATGATTTTCGCCCGGAACTCCGAAGGAAAGTGTCTCATGGATTGGGAGGAGGAGGCGGTACAGGAACCGTTTCTTTTCACCTCTTTCCCTGATGCAAGTATCGGGCTTTATTTGGGACGAAATACAGATGGTGGTGGTGTGTCTGTCGTGAGGTGTCGGCAATCCTGCATGTCGGGATCGATGACACCCTTAAATCCGGCGCTGGGATCATCATCGTCTGAAGTCCGGGCAGACGATGAGGGCTTGTCGCGTCGCAAGATCATGGGTATCTTCGATCCTAAGTCGTAATGGACAAGGGAGAGAGGGCGTAGTCCAGTTCAGAAGGGGCAAACGATAGGTCGGGGGAACGCTGTATCACAGAGGGGGCAGGGTTTTAGGACACTTGCTTTCGGCCATTACTTGAAAGCGAAGTGAGCATCCTCTGGCGGCGGATAGAGTCCACATCTCGAAGGGACCCAGGATAGATGGCCAGTCATTCCGAGGCTGACTCCATCTTTATATCTGTCATTCCCATAGTGATCCATTGGGAAATGGCAGATATTGCGATCGCCTTGTCACTTTTTCTTTTCTTTTTCATTCCGTCTGTCCGTAGTTGCCATAGCAACCTATTGTTTGCTTTTGACTCAACGCACATGTGCAGATTTGAGTCCGGGTCGAGGTGTCAGTCACCGACTAGAGCTACAGTTTCCTTCCAGCCTTCGCAGCAGACAAATTCATGCAAAAATATTTTTTTTTCATTTACAAGGGAGCAAGGTGTAGAGATTCCTCGGAGAATCCTTGAATATACCTAATGGATTCTTGCCTTTCTTCCCTTTTCAGAGCTTTGATAACATGGTTGGATTTTCCAACTTGATGGTAACAACATTGAAAGAGAGTCAGTCAGCGTCAGCCTCAAGAGGGACTAAGGTTGCGGGATTATTTTTTACTTGCCGGGTAGTGAGGACCTGGAACGCTTTAGGTTCCCGCTCCTTTCGCGGATAGCCTTAAGAAGTTACATGCCTCCATGGGCTGAACGAGAAAGGGAGCAAAGTAGCTTCACGTGACAAGACAGTAGATGACAGACGAGACTCTCCCGCAAAAATATTTATTTTTGAAGGGATAAGCGTCTTCACCGAGCGCTCGACCTCGACTCGGGATGTCGATACGAGCAGGAATTTCTCGTGATGCCGCAACCCAAAACTTGGAGTCTCTCATCCACGTGTCTGCATATATTTCGTCACGGCATGAGCGATACGCAATCGCACCGATAAACGAAATGGCATATGGTGGCGAGAACATTCCTCGCATCCGTTATCCCGGGATAGCAGTTGGGACTGGCCCTGGGGGTTTCCCCACGCATCTCACTGCATCGTAAAACGCGCTATCGATCTATCCTCAGTGAGAACCTTTGCGTTACATTGCAAAATGTAACGCAAAGGTTTTCGCCTTTTTCCGATGCGAACTCTCACCCCCATAAATCACGTTCCTGCTCGCACACGAACTCCAAAATCGGTTTGCAAGTTCTCCAAGTCCGCAGATGTTTTTGATTTCATCCTGTTCTTCCGGAGAACTGTAGGTACGTGCTTCAGCATCGGATTCCTCCTCTTCCACTGGATAGATAGATCGCCCAATAACAAGAACTAACGGGCCAATATCCATGAATCGTTGGACTCCGCCCGCAGTGGAAATGTGCGTTTTCAGGGTTTCTAGTACTGATCTAGAACAGTTAAAAAGAGCCCAACGTCCAGATCAGACTGAACGAGAGCAAGAATAACAGGACTGATTTAATTTAATGAGACATCATTCGTCTCGTCTTACTCTGGCGGGATATATTTTTAGGGTGCTATCTTCAGATCTCGTTTAGAAAGTACAAAAATTGCTTGAAATTCAAAACGCAGATGAACCTACATGAAATAAGCTACTTACGTCTAGACTGAATTCTCAAAAATGAGAACTTGCTTCATCTTCCTTCGAGGAGTGCTTTCCGCGATCTGAAATGCTGATTTGGATATGAAAATACACGGGATGATCATGAAGTGAGTATTATTATCCGGGTGGCATTATGCCTAAACTATAAGGTAGTAGAATGGTGCCATTGCTCTCGCATGATAAGTGGCACGAGTGGAATCAGTTCCAGCACTTACCAAATCTTGCCCATCAGGCATCACCCTTGCAAATAACAACCTTCTAGTTTTATCGCTATAGCGCTCACAAATGGGATTCTTTCTTTATGAGTTCATACCACTTTTCAAAACTCGTCTGGCATGATTTTCCTGGCTAACTCGTCAAAGCCACTCGACTGCCTGTCAATAATGGTCAAAGCCAACATACGGCAGGAAGAAGTAGACTTCGTGTTCCGCCTCGTGATGGACACTTGGAATGAGGATTTAATATGAACTTTTTGCGTTCACGTTCTAAAGCATTATGAACAGAATAATTACATTTTCCTTGATTAAATTCTGCGCTCATGCAGGTAAAACGCGCAAAGCAGATCGTGAAATTCGGTTTTCTTCCTCCCGTAAAGTCCGTTTATGAATTATTTGGAGTTCTTTTCGTCCTTGAAGGCTTTCTACAAAGCGAGAATCAGCAGCTCACCGATGGCCCTTCGCTGATGCAGGAGCAGATTTACTGTGGATGCGACCATTCAAGAGTATGGCGCCGTGATCCTGAAGAAAAAGCCCGGTCGAACCTCGATCGCAATGGGTCCTGCTGCGTCCATTCGTTTCGGTGCAACGACAAGGCTTCATCACAAAAGAAACCCATCAATGCGTATCTCATGACACGAAGAAACCTGTTTGTAGTCTCTTGGTCCCGTGGAAGTTCGATTCAGTATGGCATGTCGGCTCGGAGGAGGACTTTTTTTAACATGAGTTTTAAAAAAGTCATATAAGGAAGGAGTACTTCTTTGGATCTACACATATGTCTGATCAAAGACTGGTACTGGTACAAAGTACTGGTAAAAACAAACGAATAGGTTTTGATAATCGAGGTTTCATGGACTCGTAGCGATGAACTTAGTGGGGCGATTGAGCCCTTTTTTGGAAGTCTTAAAGTACATTACCACTGAAAGTACTAAGAAGTGTCCAGGATTCAAAATTCTTAGATTCCTTCATGAGAAAGATCGCTGAAGCGAATTTGGAAACTCATGGATTTCATTCGCCTTGGTGGTATCAGGTTTAGCGGACTCAGAACCAAGAAGTACTGAAGCGATCTGAATTGCAGGTGTTAAGTTGGTATGGACTGGTACATGAAGCAGTTGGAGGTTTTGTATATATTTTTGATATTGTGTTTATCAAATTCCAAGAAGAACTAGAAACAAAAGTAACGGAAGAAAGAACTTGAAAGCCAAAACCCTTTGGTACATAACAGAGTAAAATCATCTGGGATCTCTTCCCTGAAACCAAGGAAACAAAACTTCAGTGCGTAAGACTCGCCTGTCAAGACATGTATGATCTGTTGATGAATTCACTCAATATTTTAAAGGGTGGGGAAGGTACCTTTGCACGAGGAAAGTCAAAAGTAGTCCACGCTTGCTTCGAGAAACCTAGCTATCATCGATATTTTAACTTGTCTACATCCTCGTGTTACAATCATAAAATGAGTTTCGAGACATAGTGTAGCAAAATTGTTTAAAAAATGACTACAAAAGCATCTATCGATTTCCACTCATTGCGAACCAATACTTTAAAGCCTTTTCTTGTTATGATTGCGCTCAAACACAAATGTGGTAAGTAACTTGAAATCCTAGAATTGCCGGGCCTTCGAAAGTGTCACATTTGTATGATTTCATGAGGGAGACTCACAATCCCATAATTCCATCTTATTTTTGAAATTCATGTGATTAGACACAATTTTCCATAAAATAGACATGGTTCTCGTCACTGGACACCCTTCTGTTTTGGACGTTTTCACGAGTATGAGAACAAAAGTCTGATTTTACTAAGAAAAGGATATCTTCATGGCGGGTTGGAATTTCAATAGCGTAAAAAGGTTTCCAGCTTCTTTCCCATATTGGCATACCGTCCTACATTGTCTTCGGATTGAATGCATACCCCCCCCCCCCCCCTCATTGGAGTGCTTCCATTGATTGGAAGCAGTGACGTCTTCCAGATGAATAGTTTCGTGGATCAACTGATGAAGCAGATGCGCTGCAAGTGCTTTCTCCGGTCTCTGCTAGCCAGGAGGGGAACGAATTCAATCCGAAAATGATATTCGGCGAGCTGAGCATAAAGATAAAGCGACATCCGAAAAAGCCACTTTGCAAAGATGCCAAAAGCTGCTTTTGAATGCTCCATGAAGTTGCCTTTCCCTCAACTGAGGAATTTAGTGATTTTTACTCAATAGATATCTCCAGGGGATATTAACTCCCCGAAATCTTCTTTCTTTGGTATTAGGTGAGTGATTCTATTCAATTCCTTGTCTTGCACCAAATGCCTTTGACTTTCTTGTTTTGTCATTTCATTTCGTCTCTTTTGCTCCCAAGCAGAATTGCATTCCATTAGGAAGAGCATATATATCGGCACCTTGGTATTCTAAGGGTTAATATATATCAGGAAAATGTGGTGCAGTAGAAATTGGGCTGCTCGAAAGAGAAAAATTTCTCTGTACTCGCCTCTTTGTCACTATAATGAAAACTTCACTCAATCATTAATATCAGGCTAATATTACGTCAGCTGTAGTTTCTCACGAAAGCTCAAACACAATTAAGGTTAATTGTGGCCGATAGGAAACCAAACTAAAATTAGCTACCTCCTGACAACAAAAATTAGGCTGCAAAGCGTAAGCAAGATGAGGAGCCTTCTAATTTGGTTCTATTCCTATCTTCAAGACGCACGCACATGGAAGCCTTCCAGAAAGGAATGGAATCGCTCTTTGAGAACTCCCAGAAGACGGACAGCGACATCTATGGGCAATGCCAAGAACCCATTTTCCTTGTGGTTCGGATCACCGGACTAGGGTAGGAAGAGGACAAGGGAAGGAAGCATGCGCCTTAGATCAATGCGGGATTGGGGAGAGCGAGGGAAGCGAGGAGAGTCGGTCACAGAGTCGGCGACCACCGTCCCTGCTCCTACTGTTTCATTCTGGGTGTCACGTGTTCCCCGTCGAACATGTTCACGGTCATCCTCGATCATCCCTCCTCTTTCCTCTGCCTTTGGGTCAACACTTGAGATCAGGGTGCCCTCTCTCTTCAGCGTGAGTTTTTCTTCCTCATGAAATATCGTATATAAAAACGAAGCTCAGTCTGCATAAATCACGATGAATTGGAAGGACTGCAATCAGATCCCGAAGCAGATGAACGTTGTAACTGCCATCGAAGAGACAAAGAAGACGGGTAGTCAGCGTGCAGCCAAGTGAGAGGGGACATGTATGAATTGTGTCGACACAATTCATTAGTTTCTATCCCCGACAAACGAGATCGTTTTCTTCGAAGCTTCCAAGCTCCTGCGCTAGGGAAAGGGAGAAAAAGTAGAAAATAAAGGAGAAAATTTCCGCTACATTAGGCCAGCAAATCTCAAACCGAACTCCCGCTTGGCGTGAGGATTCATATTCATTACAAAATCATTATCGCATGTGCTGGAGTAAGCTTCTTATTTTCATCAAAAGTTCAGAGTGAATTAATTTTCGTTACGCGTACAGTGTTTCATCGCCTTACATGATAGAAGGGCATTCTTCTTTAATGCAAGTGGTGTCTCCGAACCATTCCATCAAAGGGCAATGAACGAGAATCTCACGAGTTCTGGATTGGTAAACAAGGTGAAAACACCTTGGTTTGTTTATCTCCATGTTCAAATTGACATTATCGCAACTTTTGTTTCTTTCTCGGGGAAGGAAAATATCTGTCCCACCTCTCATTTGTCGTTCGTCATTCGCTCATTCGCTTTTTCCTTTCCTGATGCACTCCCATTCAAATTGTATTATGTTCTAAAATTGGCTGACTTTGACGTCAGAACTTGAAAGCTTCGGAACGGCCATAGTAGTAGTCAAAGAAGGGTATGTGCATGTGGAGGGAATATACTCGCAGAAAGGACAGAGTGGCTGATGAGGACATGCATTATATATGATTCGCCTTCCATTTGCGACTGGGGTGGACTACTACAGGGTCATTCATAAGTTCTCACACGCTCATAAATTTCCTTCCTCTCTGTGTTTATATTCAGAAACCCGAATGCATATGTTTCTGGCACCCTGTAATTTCTTAAACTTAAGGAGTTAATCAGTGGAATAGGGAGTGAAAAAGTCGAGTAGCCTAATTCCTTTGAAATGAGGGCTGGGCAATCGAGAGTATAAATCGAGGGTAATACCCTGTAGTTCCCAAGAGCCCGCATGGAATCTAAATGGCGACAATGAGTGGACCCAATATGTGCGTTAAAGTTTTTCGAACTGCTGGAATCGATTAAGCGTAGCACTGCTTTGAATCGATTTTCAAGATTTATTCGATGTTATCAGTCGTTCAAGATCGTTTGCTTGCCAGTCTTGAGATTGGGTCAAAGCGGAATTGTTCCCAGGCATTTGAGCCTCCCGGTTGTGATTTAGACAGAAGAAATGAGGAAAGGGATTGCGTGAAAGGCTGGTCCAGCACGCCATTCCCTTATCAATCCATAGCAAAGCCCATTCCTTTCAGTTTCTTCCTACCTCCTTTATAAAGAGCACCTGGCACACTGGACAAATGCCACGTTCGCATAAGTGCCTTTCCCTCTCATCCGCCTACAGAATTCTCGGCAACATGCCCAACATTCTCGGAAATGCCTCGATATTTCCTTTTAAAAGTTGATAGTCTTAGATCATCTTCGTAGATTACTAAGGTTCCTTTGCAGGCTAAGCATTATATTGGTTCACCCCTAATTCCTATGGGGAATGAAATGAAGGAGCTTCAAGGTGCTGCAGAGCTTTAATTTCAACTCATATCATTTCTTTAAACCCGAAACTGTGAATTCCGCAAGATAAAATGTATTACTATTATGGAGAATCGATTTCTTCGTCATTAGCAGCACGAAGATCTTAGGAGTTCTTTTCCACAGAAGTTCCTCGATTCGTCTTCCATTACGTCTAATGAGCTTTGAGAATGAGCAGGGTCGAGGTTCGTTAGAAAAAATCTTATCTGATTTCCTATGTGAGGGCTGCATCTGATCGAGAATGCTTCTTGGGCCCCTCCCACTCATCCTCTTAACATAAGCAGAAAGATTTCTCGGTGAATCATTTAATTCTAAACATAGTTCAAAACATTGCACCTGTTTCGCTGCGATTTAGTCATGTATACAAAATGCGCAAAAAGAACACGTTCTACTAAGAAAACAGAATGTTTTTTTTTTTATTTGGAGAGCGAGAGGAAAACGGCTGATTTTGAAGGAAATATTGCTGGAACAGGCACTGTACTATAGAAACGCATAGATCGAACCATGTAATTTCATTACTAAAAGGCATGGAGGCATTGCCAACACCTTGGTCACCCTGTAGATACACTATTTACCACATGCTATTCAACGGTGACATGTGCTAACATTGGCTTTCACTACAGCAGACATTAAAAATTCAGGAGTCTCTGTGAAAACAATAGATCTTTTATTGTGGCCGTTTTATTTCTTTTTTAAAATTACATTTGTTTTGTGCTTTGGTCCATAATTAGCGATGAAGGAGATGATCTGGTTTCCCGCAGATGGAGAGGAGAATCGTGGTAGAGGAATTTAGAAGGCGAGATCGTCCTCAACTCCTCCTGTTCCTCCTTCTCTATGTCCCTGCTGCTGTTTTCGCCTCTCGTGAGTCTTCTGCTCTCACCTGCTTCTCAAATGTACAAATACTGTCATATTCCTGCGGGCAATGAGTCAAGATTTCAAAATCCGTCCTCTGCTCAGGCACACATTTGTCCGATGAGAAAAATGAGAAACGATATTCCTTATACAGAGTATTATGGACGAAACTATTTTCCATATTCTCGTCAGTACACGCATTTGAGCTGTAATGAGGATTGATTGCATTGACGTAGTAACAAATCTATACTTCCAAAGTTGGCGGTGATAACGTTATACGTAGACGTGGGAAGGAAAGGGGAGAGAATGTGCAGGTGTCCGCTGCCATGGCAACCAACTGCTCTCAGATACGTGCAATCTTCCATGTTTCTTCTTTGAGCACCTCGAGCAAAACAGGACAAAGTACTTCCTTCTTCCCTCTTCCGTGATACTTCTTCATCCACGAGAGCCATTGTGGATTAGATTATATCTAAGGCATCGACAAAAAAGCCATCCCGAATAGAACGGCCAAGTGGTGTTCTACTTGATTGTGGAGTGACGTCATTGGTCGCGTTTCAGGGATCGATTCTTCGCATTCTCGGTTGAGAACAAAATATTGCCAAAAAAATCTTTAAAAAATGCAGATCGACTGGGACCCTCCATTTGGATCGGTGCTTCTCGAGTCGAGGATGTTTCGCAAGTTTCTTTCATGACGTAGGAAGCAGAGATCTCTTTCCCGAAAGGCTTCTATCACGACGTAATTCAAAATTCCAGAGGAATACCCTTTCAATAGAAAGCATATCGTGAATGAATAGCAATCTGACGTCTTGATTGCGATCCCGAAACTCAATTGCAATCGTTTATTCGTTATGAAAGGGGGAGAACCGGAATTCTCCGTTCCCAACTGGTTAAACTTTGATGGACTTTTCTCCTTCCTTTGACCTCTTTTTTTCCCACCAAATAAGGTCCTCTCTTAATCGATGAGACGAATCTTCCTAGAGTGTTTCTCTCCCATGGCTTCTGTGGACGGATCCTATCGGGGTACATATCTCGTAGGGTTTTGTGGAATGTACGGGTAATTGGAGTATCCTTAGTGGGATACAGAATATTAATAAACCATGATAGGTTTAGTAAAATCGTCACGAAATGCTTCTCTCATATCATCTTCCACCGGGGAGATTCAAACTGACTCAGTTTTGCTGCTACTGCATTCATCATTTTGTTTACACCAAGGGGGAAATTTAATCATCAAGACAAGCGGGGAAAAGAAAACTTGCATCTTAGTCTAAACGTTTGAAAATAAAAAATTCAACGATTCGCGGAATGATATAAGATGAAAGTCATAAAAGTTATGTTAGGACTCTCATTCGGAGAGGAGATGGATTACCTCGCAACTGCATCTAGTGCTTGCAGGCGGATACTACATCCCTGCTAGTGTAGCTCCTTTCTGCCAGAAGGTGATTAGGAACACCGTGTTGCCATCGGGCACCTGGATGGTTTGCTCATACGACGCATTCTGGCAGAATGAGAGTGGGAACGGGAAGGAGACTGCGAACGAAAGCGGGTGGGGCTTAGCATTCATTCTCGTACTTCGAACAACAGGCCCTCATTCCAATTCCCGTCCTCGTTCCCGTCCCGCTGACGGGATTCCGCAAGTTCTTTAATGACACCTGCGGGAGTTCCCCTAAATATCTTTGCAAGGCTTGCACTGACACCCTCAGTCAACACCCCCTTTGTCGACGCTACAACAGCCTTCTACATTTCTCTTCCTTCAGTTGAGGCAGACAGTAGCAAGCGCGACACTTTTCATCCTTCAGCAAGCCGCCCACACACGGTGGGAGAAATGCCTGCGGGGGAAAATTCGAGCCTTGGGAAAGACAATCTTTGATGGGAGATTTAGAATTTCTCCCGGGTGTACAGATATTCACGCGACATTGAAACTAAACCCGCGGGTTAACCTAAATTCTGTATCTCAAGGGAGATTCCAAACCCCCCATATTCCACGACAAGCGTGTTTAAAAAAAAAAGCACACAAAAACGCTTCATATCGTTGTATAGACTTTAAGAACGCAGGAGATCCAAGGCTAATTCGCTCCTAAGCTCTATTTTGTGACCCGCAATGCATTTCTAAACGCTTTATACTGGCCTACAGTAGTTTTTTTCTGATTGACTCACCTTCTGTGAGACTTCTATCGAAGGTACTCCAGGGGCCTGTTCCTCGCCTCTGCTAAACTTAAATCTAAATCTAAGGGTCGATTTTTGAACAGAGAACTATCCGATAATGCTGCTTTATTTACCGGATTTATAATGCATTTTCTCTGAAAGAAAGCAGCATTATCGGATAATGCTCTGTTCAAAAATCCACCCTTAATCTAAATCTTAAAAGCAATCTAAAAGCAAAAAAGTATATTCTTCGCCCTGACCCTTTAAACTAAGATTTAGCCAAAGATTTAGATTTAGCAGAGGCGAGGAACGGACTCCAGATACAACTTGTGAGATTGTGAGAGCAACAGTCACTAATGACGGAGGGGTATAATCATTAGGCAATTCCATGAAGCTGCATCTATTTGCAGCGAGGGAACTTCTGCCATTTCATAACTCCATAACGCCTTTAGAAAAGAATAGAGCCCATGCCAACGGGAAGGGGGGAGGGAGTTGGGATGTCGATCCGAAAACGTATTGCAACTCGTATTTTTAAAGTCATTGTGACTCATGCAAGTATTTTCGTGCTGATGCACATGCACAGGAGATGGGACGACGGAGGGAGTGGCTGCGTTGCCTTTCATCGACAATTCCACGGAGACGACCGTCCTGATGGCCGTCGGCCGAACTGCAGTCCTCAACTGTCGCGTCCGCAACCTCGGGCAAAATACTGTAAGTTTATCATCCATCCGTATCCGAATGTGCACAATATCAGTCGCTCGATCCGATTCGATTCGATTCATCTCGACTCGACATTATTAACGGAGAAGAGGTGCGACAATTGCGTACCAAGATAATCCTTTGGACAGGTCAAGAGTGACCTTGAATGCCTATTTCCTTGCGAACATAAATCATGATACACGCTTTCATTTGCTGCAGATCGATCGCTAAGTACCCAGAGAGAAATGACACGATATAATGTGTCATTTGACGCACGTATATGTGTCATGAGAGAATTCTTTGTATCGGTTATGATAAAATGTGTCAGAAGCGTTGACACATTTCAACGCGTCTACAGATGCAGTAAGATGTGTCAAATAACGCATTGGAGGAGTGAATATCCCAACGGACACGCGCAATTGTGTCCCATGACACACTACAGTGTGTGTCCATTGATACGTTTGGACTATGGCTTGACGACACGGAATAACGTGTCATGAGGATGGGCACATTTAAATGTGTCTACTGATGCAGTAAGATGTGCCAAATGACATGTTTCAGTTGGTCAAAACTCATGACACATTATTCCGTGTCACCCAGACGATCCTGGACCCACTTTTGTGCGTCTTTTGACACACTGATTTCTTTCTGTGTAGGATCCATCATTAAATAGGATTAATGTGATATCCAATTTTACCGGGTATGACAAAATAAGACCAATGACATTTAACCCATATACAGGGAGTTCATAACTTAACAAAATAAATATAAATGCAAGCGATATATCTACAAAACAGCTGGACGGATTGCCATGAAATTGGGATTGAAACTCAAGGCACTACGGAACCTTTTAACGCATTTTTGGATCGGTGGCGCTGCAATTGGAAATTTGCATTTTGTCACAAATTGCAGTTTGAAGGAAGATTGAAACGTCATTGAAGGTGTTCAAAGTGTCCACTGCCAACTCGAAGTGCTCTCATACCTTCCACTAAATGGCCAAAAGCTGCTCAACACATGGCAGAGGCATGGCTCCAACTTCCCGTTCAATGGAATCCTTTAGAGGGGCCAGATCAGAGCCATCCGGTGCAACTAGCCCCTCAGGTAACCCCACAGCCAGGTGTCCTTTCCAAAAACACGTGTAAAAAATTCCATTGTGCCTTTAGTTACAATCTTTACTTCCATAGCAACCCCTTGAGTCGTTCTTGAGATACCATTTTCATTTAATCCAGTGAGCAACAGGAATTCGGATTTTTCCACTAGCCATTTTCACATATTTTAATTGATTTTAGTCCTCTTATTATGCATTATTTTTGGCATGTCATTTATCTTCGCAGATTTTTTCAAATATGATTCAATTGAAAAATTAAGAATTGACATCAAAATGACGCCAAATCCTCCGATTCGCGCGGATTTGATTGCTCAACCGTCAGAGGCAGCGGATGATTGATTCCTTATATGCTGCACTTTTGTCCTGTTGGCTGAATTTCGAAGAAAAATAGCATTGTAATGCCACATGCCTTCCGCTCTCGTGAAGCATTGGCTCTTTATATACTCTGAAATTATTTGACAGCTTGGTGCGGCGAAACATGATGTTTCTGGTCTTATTTTGCCACCTTCGGAAACCACAGGAGTCTTTGCTTAAGGAACTGTGAGAAGACAGATCATAGCGCATGTCTAGGACTGATAGGGACCTTTTTCGTTTGGCGGGAAAGCCATTTGGAAAGAAAACCCTTCGGCCCAGAGTAGATCAGTACGCATGATCGAGGACGAACGGATTTTCTTTGTGCGACAGTGAACGTTTTATGCTGGTATTTTGAGCATTTTTTCGCCTCTGCATTCTTTTCCTAGACCATATTTTAAGGAGGTAGGGTTTGGGAGGGAAGGAACTGATATTGCTATTCGCGCTTCTATTATTATTTTGTGATTTTTATGGAAATTTCCATTCATACCGCAAAGTCTTTAAAGGCAAGTATCATTTTATGAGTTCATAGCACGTCGCTATGGTATTGCATTCTTCAAATGCGATTTGGTAGGCACCATTATGAAAGAGAATGGTATAGGAAAGGTATAGATAATACAAAATTTTAAGTTGCAAGGGACACGGACCATAATGCCCGCGTGACTGTGCAGACCCTACGACCCTACAACTTCATTTCAAGGACGAAAAGACATTTAAATAATAATTAACAATAATTCTCATGCATGCAAAGAGGGAGGGATGCACCCTTGAAAAGAGTCTAGCAATAACTCTGGTTTCCCTCTTTATTTGCTTTTTTTCCCCTCTGGATGAGCGAAAGGAAAAGAAAAATTGAGCAATTTTTTCTCCCCCTTCTCTCATGAGACTAAAAAGGGTGGGACACAGAGCATTCAGATACCAATGTGTTTGAATCATGGAGGATCTATCTTGGTTTTTTCCTCGAATATCAGTTGGGAGCGAAGGATCCCTCTCCGTGCCAGTCGCACCTGTTCAAGTGACTGGTCGCCATATCCCAGCTCCGCTGCTCTTCAAATAATCAAAATAATGCTTGGGAAAGGTTTTTCTATGGACAGGCTGGGAGGAACACTATGCACTTTTGTTGTGCCACCTGGTTTCGAGTGGTATTTCAAGGATCGAACATTTCCTTGACTATTTGCTCGAGAGAAAAATGAAGTCGGCATGAATGGAATTCCATGAAACTATCAACCTGGAAAGCACATGAACTTAGCATTTCCATGCTACAGAAATCATGGACGTAGTAGATGGAGAAGTTCATCACTTGGCAAATTTTCATGCTGTCTCCAGCCGGCAGAGGACCAAAGGAAATGAGTTCCAGATTGTAGGTAAGTCATCTGGTCAGGACTGGACCAGAAGGCTTCTCTGCCATTTGGCACCTTTTCCCTCTGGTCTTACGCATGCGCGCTGCTGTGCACTAAACCGGATGAATTCGAGCTATTTGACTCACTTTCCCTCTGCTTTTCCCGAAGCACATTGCTAGATCTAATTACACGGTGAAGTCAGGACCCACCACTGGTCTTAAAATACGTATATTAGGGGAGATGCGGCAGCTGCCTGTTCCCCTCTCATGGCTGATATTTCTGTCATGTATAGTATTTCAAGATGGTAACAGACAAGTGGCATAGACGCCGGTTTTGGCAAGCAGACAGAACCAAACCACAAGCCAGCCCTGTTTGAATCAAATCGGCTAACATTGGGATAATTGAAAAATCCAAATTCCACGATAGATTTCCTGCCCAGGAAGAGGCTTTTGCAGAATAGTGTAGCAAAAAGAAGCAAATTCTGGCCTTCTACTTGAACATATACTAAATCAGGCTGGCAAAATGGATTCGCATGGGTTTTTCACCCAAGGGGTTTCCCCATTGAATGAACACATCGTTCAATGGGCTTGACTAAAGTTCAAACATGTGCAAAAAATTTCGCTGCAACTTGACTTTATTTCGCGTTCACCCCGAGCAAGTGGTTGAAGAGATTTATTTTTCCTTATTTAAAATTTACCAGCTGTCTTGGGTGAGGAAGAAGGATTATGCGATCCTGACGTCGGGTCGTTACGTGTATAGCAATGACAAGAGGATCAATATGCTGCATCAAGACGGCTCAGACGAATGGCCCCTTCAGATCAAGTTCGTCAATGTCACCGACAATGGCACCTACGTCTGCCAGGTCCGTTTCCACTTTCCAATTTCACTTTCCGCCCCTCACGTCCTCCTCTCATAGTCTGCCCTATTCGTTACCAGGATGCTAAATTAAATGTCAATGGAGAGTTTTGGCTATCCGCTTATGATGGAAGTGGGAGGAAACCAGAACGTGTTACTTAATGATGCCTTCAACAACCTGCTTTGAGACGCGAGCGAAAGGAGGAAAATGCGAAACGTATCCGCCAAATCAACGGGAAGCGAGGAGAGGGCAATCAGGGACACCTCAAGAGTCACTCACTTTTGACGGTGTCGTTTGATTTGCCAACTCGTGGACCTGAACCGGGTAGAGAGTACATTTCCGTGCTCGTCATTAAGATCGGGTGGCTGAACCTCTGTAAAGATTCTTTGAACAACTCGTAACGTAACGAGGAATCCTGAAGGACGCAGCAATTATGCACTGCACAGGGGTTCACTTTCTTGACAATCAGATGAGAGAAGGTTCTCGAATGATGTGCACAGGTGGAGCCGGGGCTGGAAAAGTTGTCCAGGACGGTGAATTTGCAGGTACTGGAACCCGAAGCCTTCATCTTGGGAAGCAAAGAATATCACGTGGATACTGGATCTAAAATCTCCCTCGTCTGCATCATTGAAAAGGTTGCCCCCTCCTCTTTCTCTGGTTCCATTCCCTTTTACATGAGACACGGAAAACCTCTCATCTCTTCCCCTAGTGGAATCGTTTTTTATGTCCCTTTTCTATTACTTAGTGGAGTTTTCTTCCTTGTAGCAAGAAATTCCCTAAGAAAGACCTTCAAAATCCTTCTTTTCCCCTGTCCTCTGCTATAATAGTAGATTGACGTTGAGAGAAGGGTCACTCCAGACAGGTCGAGAGAGGTCTGGGATGCGTTTTTCCCATGTCCACATCAATCAAGACCTGCCCTTTTCCCCGTAGCCAGAGATCGATCAGTAGGATTGTCTTCTTGACATTCCACTTCTTCCGCATTCGGAGGGAGATTAATGCAAAAAAAAAGGGGGGGGGGGGGGAAAAAACAAAAAGATACTTCCTTCTTCCTGTGATTCATTGAGTGACAGTTTCGAAATTGCTTGGGAAAAAAGAGCTTAAAAATAAAAAGTTCCTTAGGGATTCTTTCCCTTCTTCAGGTTACAAACTGTTTACGTCCCTGATGAACCCAAGGTCGAATGGATTTTTCTCTCCATGTTTCTTCTGTCTTCCATGTTCCATCTTCTCCCTTCCTTTCAAATTGGGATGTCTTTTTTTTCCTTTTCTAAGGAAAACCTACACGTATAATAGGTAAGAGCTGACACGTCAGACGGCAAGATGAATCGATGTCGTGTCACCTCTGATCGAGGATAATAAATATCCACACGTACCACATCATCATCTCTTCACCGAAGGGATCTGTAGCGTCTCTATTTCTATCGCCCCCACCCCCCGCCCCCCCCCCCCCCCCCCCCCCCCCCCCCTCATCATCTCTTCACCGAAGGGATCTGTAGCGTCTCTATTTCTATCGCCCCACCCCCCCCCCCCCCATTCCTCCTCCCAATGCGATTCTTGTTCTTCCGCTGGAGCCTCGATAGAGGTACGACTTAATTTAGTTATGATGTCGAAAGTTTAGTATTATGTCTTAGATTATTTCCTACTTTTGTTAGGTTCGGTGTCTTACTACTTTAAATTACTACTTTAAAAAAGGGTGGAAACGGTACTAATATCGGGGATCGTTCTAAAAGTTCTCTGACTCTTTCTTACTACGTATGCAATAAATAATGTAGGTAATAACTGATAACTTTTTGCTTTGGGCCTACTTTCTTGATGTAATCATTTTAAATGCTTATACACTTCTATACTCAAGCTGAATTATCATTAGGAAATCCTAGGACAAGTAGATGACTCAATTTGGGTCACTCTGGGTCAATTTCAGTAGACTTGGGTACTTGGATCAGATTTTATGATTTGCCAGGACTGGTATCCTTTCAAGCAGGCGGTTGAGTTCCTAACAGTCTAGGCAGGTAACAATTTATGCACTATATTCTTAGGGTTCCTGACTTTTGTTACATGTTGCATGTTGTACGGATCAGCACTCCACCATATAATACAAGTATATTGAAACCATGAAGAAGGACCACCGTAATAAGTGGTCGCGTCGAGTTTCGTTTCAGTAGGACAATGTTCGCCTATGCACCCTGACGTCAGTCAATATCCCCCGTTCGTGATCTTGGCCAACTACCTCTTTCGTCAGATCTTGCTCCGAGTGAATTTTAGCTGTTTCCTGCTATGAAAATTCCCAATCATGGCAAGTACAGTACGCGCCATCTGGTCCACAATGGTCCCAGGTGCCACCTAGTGGGTTAAAATGACTCCCTTTGAATGGCTAGTTGAAGGACTGAAGAAGTGGATAGGATGCTAGCAGTAGTAAATACCCTTGAGAAGTGATAATATCAAGAAGATGGTCACGGAACAAAAGAAGCCAGTTACTGACTGATGATGTAATAAGAAGCCGAAAAACTTTTGATGCGACCCTAACATATGAAACCTGATCAGACGGAGACAGGAATGTGGACTTCGTCTTGCTCATGTCCGTCTCAATGCCTCAAGAGACGAGCTGAAACTGCCGATGAAAAAGTGTTAGCATTGCTGTTGGTTGTGAAGGAGATCCGTGCGGGAATTCATGCATGTAGGATGGTCTTACGAAAAATGATATTGTTCTAATTATTCTTTCCTTGCAATTTCGCAAATTCTCCCCTCCACATGCGACTGCAGCCATGCGAGGCCCATGTACTGGATAGCGTATGAAGTAGCGGTTGAAAAGATGTTACGAATATGATTTTTAAATTTTGCGAGCTGGCTTATTTCTTCGAGTAAAAGTATGGAAAACCATTTCCAACTGTTGTTTGTGGCAAAAGTAAACATGATGGTGTCGAAATTCAGGGCCACAAGTGCTAAGGAGAGAAGTTCTCGATCTGCTACAGGTAGATCCATGGACATCTTGTATGAATATTTCTAAACCGGATTTACTTTTGTGAATACATTGCTTAATATTCTCGTATTTCTAGCGATTGCGAGACGGGTGTTCGTAATATTCGGCATTTAAATGTATGATTCAATTTTTTTGGTTATTCAGCGGTTGCAATGCAATGCTGTAGTCGCGTCTATCCTCTAGATGGAGCAGTTATTATAAGTTTGACAATTGCAAAAATTCTCACTACCAGTTGTCCCATTTATTAGTATTTTACACTTATGAGTTGCTGTTTCCATACATGAAGAATGTATCGTTTGAATGCAAAAATGGACTTGATGGCTCGATGAGATTTTCCTAAGGGAAGTAAAGCGTTCTGTGTTTGCGCTTTCTAGCCTGAATGCCCATTTGTTCCCTTTACTAGTTTGGTCTATATGACTTCATCGAGGGGATTCCCTGCCGACCATTAAAAACGTCGTTCTTCTTTCTCCCGTCCTTTCCAGGCAGGCCATTACGTTATGGAAGGCATTCTCGCTACTATTAGGACTCTGGAGAAAGAGAGAGAGAGGGAAAACATTCGTCTCGCTCTCTCCCCCTCCTCCCCCTCTCTCTGCGCCCGGAAATTGCGTTTCATGATCCATTTCACGGAGAAGGAAGGCCAACCAATAATTGTTTCACGAAGCAGAGCAAACAAAGACGAGTCCCTCTCGTCCCTTTTGCAATGCCAGGTGAAAGCCTGGAAGGATACTGAGAGGATAGAAGCCTCCTGGGAATTTCTCTTACTTCTATGGGATCCAGGATGGGATTCCTTTCCTATACGAGTATCTACCCATCATATCTCAACCTGATCCCCTTTCGTCTGTAGTCACGCGTGGATTCTACGGGGATTTCGATATATCGATTTCGATCAGCACCTCTGGTCATATTATAGGCGTATTCCATTATGCATTGAAAGTTTGAGTACAGTCAGATTAGGTTACTTCACTCACAGATGATGGATTGCAACAAAAAAAGATATTTACTCATGTGAGTGTGTACACAATAAGGCCCCATGGAAGTCGTGCCAACTTATTTAGGGTGTGCCCATCTTATGAGAGGAAGCTCAGCCGAGAACAGGAATTACGTCTCTTACCCTGAGGACTAGACAAACAAATTTAATCAACTTACTTGGCAGGAGCCATTTTGGTTCACATGCCTTTCTCATTGATTTGGTTGAAGCGCCTTTTTAATGAGGCACTTGATAGGCATACCAAAGCGTTTTTGGCAACACAGCGTGGCACCATCACGGTCCATTGGCCGCAATTGAAACAGCAACGTCAAGGAGTTGAACGATATCGATAGAATTTATTCCAAGAATTCTTAGCAGTGAATCATGAAATTGATACGAGTTTCAAGGATGGCTCTTCACAGAGAAAGCTTGCCAAACGTTTTAATGTAATGTTGGATAGGGGTTTCTTCTGAAAGCCCTAAAGAAATACCCAGAAGGATTTTGTCAATTAAATTTGAAAGAGATAATTCTAATGGTGTGTAGAAAAGTCGAACCAAGTGTCAAGGTCTTAGGATAAGGCGATACTGAGGAAAGTTTCCCGGAAGGATTGGGTCACTGAAAACGCCATTTTCATCTTTTTTTTCTTCTTCCCTCAAGCTACATAACTATTGCGCCATAATTTCGTATTTGACTGATGCGATGAAGAAACTGCCTTCAAAGACAATTCTGCCAGCCTGTTCGAGCGTTTTATTGACGTATGTTAATTGAAGTGCATGCATCAGATTCCTAAATTAATGCGTGACCTGCAAGGTCAAGAAAATATTTTCGTTGATCTTAAATGGCATGAATGGCATGGCTAAAAAAAAAATCTGAAATCTGGGCCTAAAAGAAAGTAATCCAACCCGACGATATCTCGTCCTTTGGATGTAAAGAGATGTCTTGCGGCCGTCAAGGGCTTATAACTATCGCGTGAAGTTGGGGAAGGAAGCAACCATTGTAGAAAATGCCTGTAATTACTCCTGACGACTGTTTGAGGGAGTTCTCTGTATAAGAGCTCCAGCCCAGGGCCTACCCTACCTCTGTTGACGACCTACTAATGCTGAATATCACGAGCGGCCCATGATATCTGATATAGAAATCTGTGAGCTTCTCTCATCTAGCAGCTGCAGCCCTGGAGAATATCTCCCGAATGGAAGACATTTTGCCATCAAAGAACCGAAAATTGGCAAGGTGTATCTCAAATGCTAAGTGTCAACGAGTGCACTTGTGTGTCTTGAGCATTTTATTCACCGGACACCGTCAATTTAAAAATACAGCAGCTTTTCTCATTCGAAGACGTCGTTCACGATGAAAAAGAAACGAGAATAATCTGATATAATGTGACATGCACCGGATCCGTTTAAACTAAACTAATCTGATCTCACAATGGTCCCTATGGGAATCAGTTTAACAGAGATAAACTTATTCCCATAGCTGCCCATTATGAAAACGAATCGGTTTAAAGTTAAACGAATAAGGTGCATGTCACCCGTTGAGTTCCACGAGCGCTACGCTCAGGTCGCTACTAGGCAAACCATTGCAAGCAATGGCTCCGGAAGAGCACCACAGGGTCCAGTAGCTGAAGGCACATACTAGTATTTCCCGCAAAAATGAGACTGTTCTTTAGGCTCATACCAGTGGCGTATTTTACAGTG